AACAGCAACAACGAGACAGCATCATAGTGAGAGAGAATGAGATAAGTGAGAATGAAGTGAAGAGAATGTAGTGAGAGAGAATGAAGTGAGAGATATAGGAGAAATGTGAGAGACAGCATCATAGTGGGTGGGATAGTGAAGAAAATATGAGAAAGAATAAGAGAGAATAAAGGAAGGAAGAGAAACAGAAGCTTGAACCTCACCTTGGTGTCTGTGTCGTCTTTCCTGGACTCTGCTGGACAGAGTCCCGGCTCGCGACAGTAGTATATTCTTGGTCAGTTGTTCCTTTGATCTCAATGAAGTGACCCTCTTTATCTCTTCTGATTAGTTTTAGTTTGAAATCTATTTTGTCAGATATTAGAATTGCAACTCCTGCTTTTTTCTTAGTACCATTTGCTTGAAATATTTTTTTCCATCCTTTCACCTTTAGGTGGTGCCTGTCCTTGAAGGTTAGTTGGGTTTCTTGCATACAGCAAAAAGATGGATTTTGTTTCTAAATCCATTCAACTAGTCTGTTTCTTTTGATTTGGGAGTTCAGTCCATCAATATTTAAAGTTATTAATGAAAGATGTGTATTGATTCCTGTCATTTTGATTTCTGTTCACATTCTTGGTGTAACTGTGCATTTCTACAATTATACCTTCATTAAGTTTCTTTCTGTTACCCTTGATGTAGTCATTGCTTTCTTCAGCTCTTTGTATTGCTTCAAGAACTCTCTGAAGGGCTGGTTTTGTGGACATGAATTCTTTCAGCCTATTTATGTCATGGAAGATTTTTCTTTTCCCTTAACTATGATAGACATTTTGGCTGGATCAAGTATCTAGTTTGGCATCTGTGGTCATTTAGAACCAGGAATACTTTGGTCCAGGCTCTTCTGGCTTTCATTGTTTGCACTGAAAGTCAGCTGTAATTCTGATGGGTTTTCCTTTATGTGTGACTTGTTATTTTTCTTTTGCTGCTTTCAGTATTGTCTCTTTGTTCTGTATATTTAGTGCTTTTATTTTGATGTGCTGTGGTCCTGTCTATTTGGTATTCTATATGCTTCTTGTATTTGTATGGGCATGTCTTTCTTTAATTTGGGGAAATTTTCTTCTACAAGCTTGTTGAAGATCTGGTTCATACCATTGTCCTGTATGTCTATGATGTATATGTTTGGCTTTTTATGGTGTCACACAACTTTTACATATTCCTTTCTTGTATTTTCCTAAATTTTTCATAATCTTTGCTTGAGTGGCCTAATTCATCCACTCTATCTTCCAGTCTTGATATTCTATTTTCCATTTCATTCATCATATTAGTGAGGCTTTCTCCTGTCATTTCTAATTGGCTTATTGAGTGTTTTACTTCATTCTTCATTTCAGCCTGAGTATTCTTGAATATTTCTAACTCTCTTCTGAATTCATTCAGAAGTTTATCCCTATCTTCTTTCAGTTCTCTTATTTCTTTGTGTTCTTTAAATTCACTAAATTCTTTTTTAATATTTTATTTATTATTTTTATTTTATGTGTTTGAGTGTATTGCCTGCATGTATGTGAGTGTACCTATGTCATGCAGTGCCATGGAGGTCAGAAGAGGGCTTCAGATTCCCCTGGAACTGAAGTTAAGGACGGTTCATAGCCACCATGTAGGTGCTGGGAATTGAGCCCTGGTCCTCTGCAAGAGCAGTCAGTGCTCTTAACCACTGAGCCATCTCTCTAGCCCTTCACTGAATTATTTTATCATGTTTATAATTGTTCTTTTGAATTCCATGTCCTGTGTTATCTCTAGGGGGTTCTCATTGTACTCCTCTACAGGACTGTTGGTACTTGGTGGGGATATATTATTTGGGTTTTTCATGTTATTATTTTTTCACTGTGGCTTTGACATGTGCATTTCTTTTGTAGTTTCTGATTCTTTTGTGAGATTCAAGCCTTCTTTTGTTGAGTTTAGGTTTGCTTCTGTTTGTAAACTTTATGTGCCTTTGTGGTTTACTTGTTGGGCATGAAAAACTGGTTGGTCTAGGCTTCAGGTTCTCTCTTTTGATTTTATATTGGAGGGGCCAGATGGCTTTAGTCCTGCTGCTCAGGAGTTCCAACAGAGGCCCAATTCAGATGAGGATCAGATGTTCTCAGGCTTTCTCCTAAGGTCTGGATCCCTCTAGTCAGCAGGCACAGTACAATATTGGAGGATTATGAGGTAGAGTTAGGATTCAGGACTCTCTGGCAGTCAGGGAAGAAGGCTGGTCTCAGGAATCCAGGTTGTGGTGGTACAGCCAAGGATGAAGGCTGTTCTCAGGCATATAAAGGTGAGGTGGTGGAGGGAACAGCCCTCGAGGGCTCCAGGGGACTACACTGAGGAATTGGGTTGGTCTGGGTCTAAAGGATCAGAAAGTAGTGGGGAGTCTGGGACAAGAGGTTAGTCCAGAGGTCGGGGGTGCCAAGAGAAGAAATGGACCAATGCCCGTCTAGGAAAAGAGACAGGGTGGGGGGAGCTGGGGAGGGTGAATGAGGTTGTGGGACCGTTTACCAAATTTTATTTAGTGATATTATATTACTTTAATAATACAATTGATTTGCTCAACCAACATTTTATTATGCATGTTTTCAAACATGCAGCCATACTGAAAACACTTGTATAAGGAACACCTCTCTGCTATTAACATTTTACTATGTTTATGTCATCACCATCTATCTGTTCTCTACAATCCATCCATCTACCCATCCAACCATAGTCCGCTCATCCATCCATCCACTCATCCATTGATCATCCACGTATCCAGCTTTCATCCATCATCCACTTTATTTTTTTGGTGCTTATCAAAATAAATCTGAGACAACAGTACGTTTCTTACTCAGTACATCAGCATGCGACTGTTAACAAGAGTTTAATTTGGTTTAATGTTTTATGTTTTATTCTCTTAAAGTAAAGTTTACACAGTATGAAGTGTACAAATATTAAGCATAACTTTGTTGAGTTCTAGCAAACACATATTCCTGTATACCCCAAATCCCCATCAAGATAGAGACTATCATTAGCTTTTAGTAAGGTCAACAGATCTATTTTTAAGCAGCTCCTGTCTTCACCTCTCCATATTTAACCACAATTCTGATTTTTTCATATAAACTCTTCCCTGTTCTAGAATTTCATGTATAATCAAAATGAAACCAGAACATTGTACACAAGTGTGTTCGTAACTTCTGAATCTAAACCAGTCAGAACTGGAGACAGCCCAGGTGCCCATCAACTGGTGATAAACAGTTATCCATTCTTAACAAGCAATATAAAGAATGGGCCAGTAGGATGAATGATTCTCAGAAGTATGATGTTGAGTAAGATACACCTTGCACCAAGGAGCACGTACTGTGGTGGCCATTTTAAATCACCTTCTTTAACTCTCTATAAATCTTTCTCTACAAAGTCATTCATAGCAAACTACATACAATATTTACTCCTGCAGCTGTACTTAAATTAAAAATGTTGGTTGTTGTATGTGCAAGTTAGGTCTTAAGTCAGTTTATACTAGTTCCCGAGAAACACCAAACATTAATATCAGTGGGGACTCTTGCTCAGCCACACCTGTCTGCTGACTCTGGGGACTTCTAGACTTAGAACTCTGCGGAAGCCTGCCCTCTGCCCAGGTTGAGCTGATGCGCTTTCATTTCTTCTGAAGGTATACCTTTGGACCTCCAGAATGAGCTGAAAAGTAACATGTCCTTACATTCTTCTTATATTTTTCAGAAAAAAGAACGTGAACTCATACTAAATAAGTCAACAAATGCTCTTTCAACGGGGAAATTGACTCACCCTCCAAACATCCCAAAGGATCAGACCCCAGCAGGGACCTCAAATACAACTTCAGCCTCGGTAAAGCCTTCTGAAGAGAAGACTTCTGAGAGCAAAAAGACTTACAACAGCATCAGCAAGATTGACAAAATGTCAAGAATTGTATTCCCCATCTTGTTTGGCACTTTCAACTTAGTTTACTGGGCAACATATTTGAATAGGGAGCCAGTGATAAAAGGGGCTGCCTCTCCAAAGTAAGCAGAGAACTCCCAGCCTTCCAGGAAGCCAAATTCCCGGAGAAACAGAACCAAGGAGAGGCCTAGCTCAGAGAGACTGTGTTTGGCACTGTCTTTCAGGAATTTTTTTTGCATGTTTAATAATATGTACAAATATTGCCTTGATGTTTCTACATGTAACTTCGGATGTTTCAAAGATGTTCCATTGGTAAATAAAGCAAACAACTTTCTTGAAAAACAGGAGGCAACGACTCCTCTGACACTCTGATCCTCAATATCTTAACATCAATAGTACATAAACAGGATAAGTATATTTTTAACTGTTCCAAGTATACAATTTTTTTACATTTTGAACATCATTTCATACAGTTTTTCCCAGCGGGCAAATATTTTAGGAAATGCTCCGTGGTTACTACTTAACTATTGCAAGAAGCAAAGATCCTGGGGAGCACATTGTTCATGAAGAGCAAATTTTGGACATTTAGGTCCAATATTAATTGCCTTTGATAATTATTCCTGTTCTGAAATTAGAAAAATACTGCATGAACTGATGTAAGAAATAGAATAGGCAAACATTTATGCAGACAAATTTAATAACAAACACGCATAGTATCTTAGGTTAGCAGGTCAAATATTTCCCCAAGGAAAAAATGCAAGTGATTAAAAGTTGGTTTTTTTGTTTTGTTTTTTTTTTTGAAAATGACTTAATTTCCCACCCCACCCCAATTCCTCTACTGCTTTGATAATGGTGAAGAAGGAAAAGCAGATGTGAAACAAGTGCTTTGATGGACTTCTTGGCCCTTGGCATCCTGCGCCCACCCACAGTGTCTGGGACATTGGCCCCTGTTGCTGCTACACTTCAGTGCTGAGAAACTGTAATTGAGTTATTTTCCATTTTATCTCCTTGTACATATTTCATGATTGGATTATTGCTGTTAGCTTTTGTATATGAATCTTAAATGTTCATTAAAAAATAAAAAAATGTGCTGATCTTATAGGCATATGTCATCTATATTTTAAATTCAAATTTCGATGAACTCATTATCAGGAAAGGTATCATGAAGTTGTTTGAGAAAAAAAACAAAGAGTATTAAAACTGAGTTGGTGGCCCCAGTGTGTGCAACCTAATTCTGCAGAATGCTGGAAGAGGACACTAAAGCGGCAAGGACATGCTTCCGAGTGCATTTGTAGTGTTTGCCATGGGGCCGGTAACTCTTGTTCCCTGCCTCTGTACCCTCCTTCATGGACCTGATGGCTGCTTGTTCTGGCTCTCTACCCTCATTTAGCCATTCATGAATAGTCAGACAAAGCACAGTAATTGGGACATCTACTTACTGTTTGAATAAATATCAGCATATTAAAAGGAATAGGTCTGTCCTAAGCTGTAATTCTAGAATTGTAACAGGAATTAAGACTAAGTGTCAACAAAATTGAATTGGTTAGACCTGTTTAGATAGGGCAGGTGCCATGTAAATATCCCACTGTCCCTTTTTGTGTGTTTGTGTGTATATATATGTGTATGGATGAGAGTGCTTATGTGTACACATGTGGAAGCCAGAGGTTGACATCAAATTTCTTCCTCAATCACTCTCCACCTTAACCTGGAGCTCACTGATTCAGCTAGACTGGGTGGCTGGCAAGCCCCAGGGATCCTCCTTCCTTCAGTTCCCCAGTGCTTGGATTACAGGCTTAAATAGCCACACTCCATCTTCTACATGGTTACTAGTTATCAAATTCAGGCACTCATGCTTGTGCAGTAACTACTCCAAAGACTCAGCCAGGTTCCCAGGCCCTCCATTCCCCATCTGTAACTGAGCTCACAATCTTGCATAGAAAGTAATAGAAAAGAATCTCTCTAGTTCCACAGAAGTATTTCCCCATCATAGATGATGACAAACTTGTAGAACAATGTGTATTTCCATTACACCACAAAATGAAAGCCCTCCACCCAGCAAAACTAAATGTAAGACTCAAAGTCAAGTTCAATTTTCATTTACTGCTTAATTATATGTTATTATAGGATCATTGCAGTACAGCTTCACACTACAGTTTGAAGAAGATGCAACAGGTCGTGTTCCCATGGTTACATGTCTAACAAGGATCTCGAGCCTCTCACTCCCAACAGAAAACAGCCCCTGCTTTACCAGGTTGTAGTCAATTTCTTGACATACTGTGACTTTTGCACAGAAAACGCTTATGAAACTCATTTGGAGACAAACCTACTTCATTGCATGCTGCCGAACCTATAATCTGATGAATATTTAGCAAAAATAATCACATTTGTTTTCTGCTCTCTAATTTTGTATTGCAGATAGCCTCTGAGTTTATTTTTAATGAGAACATAATAAATAATCACCTTGGGGAAAATGCTATCAGGCGAGCAATACAAATTTCTGAAGACAATTATAAATTATAGGGCTCTACTTTTAGAGCCAGGGTATTTAACTGTGTCTTTTTTTTTGACATCACCATAAACATAAAGGGAAAATGTTCTAACAGGTCCATAATCAGTGCTTATTCTGTACTTTCTTAGGAAACCAAAGATCTATCTAGGGCAAGCTTTGGCTGAGGTTGACCTGAGTATGTATTTGTACCCCATGATTGTGTTCATCTGCTTTGGAGTAACTGAACCTGTCCAGCAAACATACTGATGAAGGTGGGTAGGAAGGCTGTAAACCATCTGCTCATGGCTACGATACTCCCTGAGACATCATGCTCCATGTCTCTCATGGGACATGCTATGGGAAACAGTGCAGTAAATGGGAAATTTCTACTTGACGAACAGGATTACTGCAACTCAACTAGTTGAATTCATTACCTCATATCATATGACCAGATAAGGAAAACGCAGGCCTAGATTTCTCTTCTCATAGTTTCTAAGACTGGGTTCACAGCACCATCAAACTGCTTTATGTGGATGCTGATTTAGAACCAGATGAAAATTTTGCTTCTAAAGCCTGGGTGAATGATTATATATTAAGCATGCCCTAGCTATTTTCCCCCACTGGAAACATGACCTTTATATCTGTGCTGCCTTGCATAGAATATGTTATTCTGTGATTTTACAAACTTGTTTTAATGGAGTGGCCATGTGATAGGGGAGCACTTCTCCCATAAGTGAGATGAAGGGACAGAGAAAGGAGAGATGGAGGGAAGAAGAGGAATAGAAAACAGAGCAAACACACAAGTGACTGCATCATTGACTAAGGGAGCTCAGTATCTTTGATTACAGGACTCCTTCCAGAGCTCCAGTGTGAATGATTATAGTGGTGCCCATAGGAGGGATCTACCTTAGGAACCATAACTATGACACTAAGTCTTTAAGCAACATTAGCCTCCATTGTAAGAAACAGTCTCAAATAAAAAAGAACATTTTCTTTGGAAAATTGGAAATGCCACAGTTCACTCTGTGAAAACAGTATTTTAAATATTTAAAAATTAGTCTTAATGTCTTTTCTATAATACAGGCATATCTGGGACAATCAAAGCCATGAGCATTTGAATATGAATTACTCTGATCACTGCAATTACCAGATTTTCAGGAATGGAAGCGATTGCATTTGAAGTACACAGAAGGTTCATTTCATCAAAGATTTTCAATGATTATCTGTTTGCCACTGTCATTTCAATAGCCTACCTCAACCCTCAGATCAAATGCTCTATAGTCTATTTAAAAATATGCATGGGGGGCTGGAAAGATGATGCTGGAGAGATGCTCAGCGGTTAAGAGCACTGACTGCTCTTGCAGAGGACCCGGGTTCAATTCTCAGCACCCACATGGCGGCTACGAACCATCCTTAAATCCAGTTCCAGGGGAATCCAAAGCCCTCTTCTGACCTCTGTGGCAATGCATGACATGGATGCACTCACATACATGCAGGCAATATGCTCATACACATAAAATAAAAATAATAAATATTTTTTTTAATCTGCATAGGTTTGTTGTGGAAACTTGTGCTTCCAGAGAATTTCTGCAATGCATAATTCTCAAGAGTTACTCAGTGAAGAAGTTTTGAAGAAATGAGTTATTTGAGCTTTTCTAAGTTCATATTGAAAGACAAACAAGGACCAGACATTAAATTTTTGCCTGAGATTTCAGAAAATTTAAATGAGATCTAATTGACCCAAAATATTGATTAAAGTTCACTCTGTCATATGTTCTTCATGTTCCAATGTGTGTCTCCCCAGCAGGACATTATCTAGTGCTCTGCAAAGATGACTAACTGACTGACAAAGTAAGCCCCAGGAAGAGGTGGACTGGGAAAGACTGCAAATCAGTGGCCATATCCTATCCAGATCAAAGGTTTTCTTTAAGACTTTTATATCATCTTTCTTTACCACTGAGTAGAGCTCTGTTGTGTAAATGTATACCACCTGAAGTAACAGTCTCAGAAAAACAAACAACCTATGTTCTTCCTCATCTGTGAATTCTAGCACCAAGTTCTTATATGTGTGTATATATCATGATGTAACTGCAGGAACAAAGAAAATAGAAAGGACTACAGGAGGTAAAGGGAAGGAGCCTGAGAGGGAAGAACAGTAGGAGGCATGTGTTACCAAGGGGAAATGGGTTAAGTGGGGGCATTTAAATGAAAGGGGGAGAGGGAGTGTAATACAGGGAACTATGGGGGTAAAGGGGAAGAAGGAACTCAAGAGAGGTGGAACCATAAGAGGCAAGTATTATCAAAGGAAAATGGGGGTACTTTAATTGGGGAGGGAAGAGGGAGAGTTAGAGAGAGAGGAAAGATAAATAAGGCATAGCTGGTATGAAAAACCAGAGGGAAACATACTAGTTCAAAAACCTACTGAAAAATCACCCATATAATATCTCTACATGTGTCCATGTGTATAGATAAAGGCTGTATAACAAGAAACAGTGTAAGAGAGGAGATATCTCCCTTCAAGATTTTTGGCCACAATAGTCCAAGAGACTATGGAAATTACGTAGGCTACTACCACTGCCCTTGATTGCCTCTCAGAACTTGAAAGTAAGTCTACTGAAGACAGGACATACTTTGGACACAGGGTTTGGAGCAGTGGAGCTGGAGCTGACCTGGAAGCTACTTCCCTGCAGGCCAGCTTTCATAGTTTTGGAGAACATGCTTCAAGCTGCTAAGAAGGAACATCAGTTCAATCTATGATCCAACCCAAGCTTTAAGGCCTAGTAATCACAACAATGGTCAGCACAGCAAATTATATTGGGGCAGGAGTGGCACTTTAATCTTGGGGGTTATTAACAGCTACCTCATTGTATTTAAAGCCCACTCAATGAGAGGGAACTCATGTGTGGCACTGTAAACATAGCCAAATACACATGGCTAGTGAGATTATAGATCTTGGAGAAAACCCCAAGGATGTCACATCCCTAGACAAATGTGATTTCTTAGTATATGCTAAATATGGATCATTATATTTACAGGCAAGTATGCCAGTCACCACTCATCAAAGAAGCTTCTCTTGTAACAGATAGAGACTATTACAGAGTTCCACAACTGGTCACACATAGTGATTGTCTGTGAAATGTACAATCCTAGATAACATAGCCACAATGGAACCTCTACACCCAAGGCTCATGGAACATAGTGGAATAAGGGGTAGAGAGAATACTAGTGCATTTCTCATCCCTAATCAACAAAGCTCCCTCATGCATCAGAAGTTCATGAACACAAAAAGACACAGATGACCAAAGTGTAGAGAATAAGAGTCTGTAGAATATAGGCACTTGAACAAATTTTCTGTATTAAACTTCACCCACCCAGGGCTCAGGGACCATTTTGGAAGAGGGGGCAGAAAGATTGTAAGAGTCAGTGGGGGAGGTGCATGACCATATCAAAGTAGAGTCTTACAGGCTCCTGGGACCTTGCTCATATGAACCTACATCAGTAGTGTCAACATGCACATGACCCATGCAAGCCAAAGTAGACTAAAACCCAGCATAGAACTGGGGAAATGTGCAGCAGGCCCAAGTCTTAGCTGAAGAACTATTGGCAGCTGAGTACTGCTGGGTGAGCAACAGTTGATCTTCATAAAGGGAGGGACTCTAGATAGAGTGACTAGATCTCTGTCGGGAGCCGCTAATCATTGAGCTGCAGCAGCCTCATTTACTGAGTTTGTGTCATGCAAACCAGTACTTAACCTGCCCATTCAGGAGGAAGAAGTTTTCTGGAGAGCCTCAAAATACCTGACCTTGAGGCATTAGTGGTAAACAAAAGGATCCAAGAAGCCTTTGATCTGACTGCTCCCTGACCCTCAGATACAGGTGGGGAAATACAGCAGTTGTAACTAATTGAGTTCTTCTGTATAAAAAGACAGAGCTGAAATAAACCGGGGCTGGCAGTATTCACTGTGAGCCCTCCCAAGAAGCGTCTTTTCTGTCTCCTTTCCTTTCTTTCAATCCTCACTCCCCCTTTCAGGTACTGTCCATTTTGGCCGGCTGGCACCGGCAGATCTCAGTGGATGGTTTTGCACTGAGGGATGTTTGGGGACACTAAATTGATTCAATAGGCCTTAACATCAGTTACAATGCATGAAATCGAGTAGGGGTGCTATGGGAGGGTACCAGTGGGAAAGGGGGTATACAGATGATTAGGATGATCTGTATAAAATACACATAAATTTAATAAAAAATTTTAAAAGTTTAAAAATTAAGTTTAGTCATTTTCATAAAGCTAACATCTATACATGTCCTAACAATACTGAGCATATAGTCCCATGCAGTGAGAGTTGTCTGGGCTTAAGGATCTGTAAGACCCTGTATTAGTTACTTTTCTGTTGCTGTGATAAAACACTGTGACCAAGGCAACTTATAAGAGGAAGAGTTTATTTGAGTTTACCATTCCAGGGATAAGATTCTATAGTGGCATGAGAAGCATTGTGGCAGGAAGTAGCTGGAAGAAGAAGCCAAAGTATCACATTTTTAAGCAGGCACAAGAAGCAGATTGTGATGGGAAAACTGGCAAGGTTTAAGAACTCTCGAAGCTGGCCTACAGTGACGCACTTCATCCAGCAAGGAGACACCTCTCCAAACCTCCCAAAAGAGCACCATCAAGTGGTGACAAAATGTTCAAATACTTGGAGCCTATGGAGTCATTTTCATTCAAACCACCATAGATTCTATATAAGGTGACTGTCTAAATTTATCCAGATGTGACTCTTCCATAATGATGGATGGAGGTCATCAGTAATTCTTCCTCCTGCTGGAAAGTCATGAAAAGACTGGAAAATTATTAAAAGTAACAATTTCAGAACTTGGAAAATAAAACTGAAAGCATACAAAAATTATAAGTGCTTATTGGAGAAAAACTACTAACCACTATAAGAAGAGTGGGGCCTAGACCATTTTAACTTGAACATGTTCCTGTCTCCCTATACTGGCATTGTGCTGTGATGACCTTGCTGCCACCAGAGGGAGCTTATTGGATGTGATCTGTGGAAAGCCTCATTCTTGGGTTCTTATCACTCTCTGACTTGATTTAGAACTCCATGGAGTAGTCTTATCCTAGGGCATTATGGAAAATAAAGTAAAAAGCACCAATAAAAGAAGGTTTGTTTGAAACTTCTCGAGTTTGCATCAAAAAAGAGTATAGCTTTCAAGTGCTAAAGCATACCCAAGGAATCAGATCTAATATATAGTGGGCTACAGAAACCCCAGGTACACTCCTGAGCATTTGGAAGCCTGTGTACATGTTCAGGGCTATAAGAACACTGACTTAGGAGTAAAGTGCTGATTACTTCCTCACCCTGGTTGATCTTGAGGCCCTAATCTCCTGGAACTTAGAGGGTATTCTCCATACCACATTCAGAATCTCCAGGCAGAGTGTGGGGAACTTACTCATAAACTCTTCAAGGAGACTGTGTGACTAGTAACTAGACCCCTAAGCTGTGCTGACACAAAGATTATTTGTATAAAGCCAGGCCTAAAGATAAAAATGAAAGAGACAAAAAGAGTTTCCAGTAAAGTTGATGGAAATACTGCAAAACTAGCCTAGGCAAGTCACAGAAGACCAAACTCACTCTCCCTTAGTATAAAAACTAAAAATCAACAACGAGCAAAGGGGAAGGGATGATCATATTTCAAAGTTATTGCGATATGTGTCCGGTGTGTCTAGTTTTCAACAAATTCTAAAAGATGAACAAAGGAATAAAAGGTCAGTGTGGCTTATACATGGGAAACCAAATGTTCAGAAACTGACCTTTTGGGTACCCAGATGGTGGATTCAACAGATAGGTTTTTTTTTTAATTTTTATTTATTATTTTTATTTTATGTGTATGTGTGTATTGCCTGTATGTAGGTAAGTGCACCCATGTCGTGCAATGCCCACAGAGGTCAGAAGAGGCTGTCAGATCCCCTGTGACTGGAGTTATGGACTGTTGTTAGCTGCCATGTGGGTGCTGGGATTCAAACCCAGGTCTTCTGCAAGAACAACCAATGCTCTTAACCACTGAGCCATCTCTCCAGCCCCTCAGCAGATAGATTTTAGTCAGCTAGTATGAACATGTTCAAAGAACTAAAAAAAAATCTTAAAAATGGAACAATAGTGGATTATGAAATGGATAGAAGGAAATAGAAATCAGGTCTTAAAAAAACAAATATAAATTTTCATACCAAAAGACATAATTATTAAAATAAAAAAATACCCTAGAGGGCCTCGGATTTGATCAGCAAAATAAAGAGCTAGCATACCTGAAGACAGGTTGGTAAGAGATAATCCCAACTATGAGTTACATAAACAGAAAGAGAATAAAGAAAACTGTCAGAGTCTAAAAGATCTTTGGAACACCATCCTGTGGACCAACACATACATGAGAAAGTCCTAGAAGGACAGGATAGAAAATGGGCAATATAAACATTTGAAGAAATAATAGTCACAATCAATGCCAAAACCAACAGAAGATACTCGTCATGTACAAGGGACCAGCATGTATAAGATGAACAGCAGACTTCTCATGAAATGCATGGAGTCCTGTGGCAGTGGGATGGCATATTAAAGAACAGCAGAAAGGGGCTAGAGAGATGGCTCAGCAGTTAAGACCACTGACTGCTCTTACAGAGGAACTGGGTTTGGTTTCCAGCACCTACATGACAGCTAACAACCATCCATAACTCCAGGTTTAGGGAATCTGACACCCCTATTCTTACCTCCATAGGTATTATATGATATAGGTACACTTGCATACATGTAGGTGAAACATTAATACATATAAAATAAAAATAAATAAATCAAAAATAAGAGGAAGAAAAGATTTGTGTCAATCCAAACTTCCATGTGGAACAAAATGATCATTCAAACAGAAATGAAATAAAATCATTCTCTGGTTAATAAAAATGGAGAAAATTAATCTGTATCTGACACATTTACATTTGCTTAAAAAGGTAAGATGGATATTTATCTGGCAGGGGAGATACCATGATCATAAACGTGGTTTTCCCAGGGTGAGGCTTATCCATTGCACTCTGGATATGCTGATGGCAATTTCCCTAAATGTGAGAAACTCGACAGCATAATTTGTGGTAGTGGGGAACTGTTTTCATGCTCTCCTCTAACAAAAAAGGTAAGATGGAAACTTGAATCCATATAAAAATGAATGAGCACTGGTACATGGGTAACTATAATAAAAAATATAATTTCACTATTTTCATGTATTAATTTCAAAGATAATTGCATAAAACAATAATTATGAAAGTATAAGGCTAGCATGTTAGTATTAATTTCTATATCACAATAAGAGGACAGGGTACTAATTAAAGAATAAAATTTCTATATACTGAAATTGTTGGTAGCAATCTGAATCACATTGCTTTAAGGATACACATTTAATCCCAGAGCAACCACTAAGATAGTAAATTTAAAAATCCATCAGAACAGTTAAAATGGTGTTCTTTAAAATACTTAACACAAAAGACGACGGAAAAGGAAAAACACAGGGACAAGAGTGTCACAGTAAAGAACCGAATCTACCTCTAGGTGGAGCCATGTCCTTGTCACTTCCCTTAAGAGTTAATCCAATCTGGCAGGAACCACCCTTAAGAAAGGCAGGATCATCCCAAGGTAATAAACATTTCCCTTCCAGATTTTCCACCTTCTAGCACAGTCTCTAGGAGCTACCACAAGGTTGGGCTGGGTCTGCCTGCCTTTCTGAATTTTCTGATTTGTAAACCATATTCTTTTTTCTTGAGCTCTTCTTTTTCTTTCTGATGGTAGCCAGAGCCTAAGTACGCTTTAAAACTCCCTGGTACTCTGGGCATCCTTAGTCTTTCTCTAAAGCTCCCCTTCCCACCATATGGCTGCTTGCCACCTTGTGGCTGACCTCTGTGCTGGTTTGCTTCAAAGTGCATGGACTTCTGACCTTCTCCTTTCTCCTCTGGACAGCATCAAAATTTACAGTTTGGCTGCCCTGGAGTTTTACTTTTAAATGCTTCCCATGAGCTTCTGTTTGAGTCAGTCTTCAAGTTCTTTATTAATGAGACTAAGCACCCCAAAGAGCGAACCCCAACTTCCTCTATGTCATTTGGCAGCTCCACCAGGACTTCCCGAGATTTCTGGTAACAGTTTTTTTCTGCCTTTTAATTCATTAATTAGCACAGAAAATGAACCCGTTTCTGCACCTGTAAACAGCTCAAGACGACGGAGCAATTTCTTATGGTAGGGGGACAGGGCGTGTTCCTATGGTAAGTACTTGGAATATCCCCCACAGGCTCATGCTCACAATACTTGGTCCCCCGCAGCTCGTGGGAGTTTTGGAACATGAGGCCTAGTTAGCAGAAGCAGGCCACTGTGGGCAGCCCTTGAAGAATATAACTGTTTCTGGATCTGACTGAAGTGCTCTATGAGAAGTGGCAGCTGCACAGTGGCACTGACCTGGACTGAGTCCCTCCACAGCGTCTTCCCTGCCAATTGACTGTATTCTCTGAAACTGCACCAAAGTCAGTTCTCTTCTTAAGTTGCTTCCTTCTAGCACTCTGTCACAACTGTGATGAAAGTAGCTCACACATGTACAGAAAACAAATAGCAACATCGAAGCTGTAAACTCACCACATCAATACATGAAAGTGTATAAAGTGGTCCAGTCAAAAGCAGAGATTATCAGGCTGGACTATCAAAAAGTGATTTCATTATTTGCTTTTGATAAGAGGCATATCTTCAAAACAAAGATACAAATTGATTTAAAGGTAAAGGTTGGAAATGAATCCAGATGTGGTACCACACACCTGCAAGGTCAGCATTCATGAGGTTGGGGTAATAAGATTGTTAGTTTGATGCTTGCAGTGGCTAAGTAACAACAGTATATCTTTTAAAAAGAGAAGTAGTCGGGCATGGTGGCTCACACCTGTGGTCTCAGCACTTGGGAGGCAGAGGCAGGCAGATCTCTGTGAGTTCAAGGCCAGCCTGGTCGACATAGTGAGCGCCAGGACAGCTGGGGCTACAGGGAGACCTGTCTCAAAAAGACAAAAAATAAAAAAATAAAAAAAGAAGATACTCTAATGGATATGCCAGTATCTTGGAAAAAAGAAAACATTACAACATTAGCATAAAAATACTACTAGAGAAAAAAGACATTGTAAAACAGTGCTATATTAATCAGTTTACCTGGAAAACTGAACAGTTAAAGATATACACCTGAAAACACAGCCCTAAATATATAAAGAAACAAAAACTGACAGACTTGAAAGGTGAAATATACACTCCAATAGCAGTATCTGGAAAATTCAATACTCTGTGCTCAGTCACTCTTGGAGCATTGAGGGCCAGTCAGCATAAGCAGAGAAGATGAGGAAAGTCCCATTGGCCAGCTTGGCATGACTGATGGCCATGTGGCACTTGATCCAATGGCAAAACAATCACCCATTCAAGTGCGCATGGTCCATCCTCCAAGACAACAAATGATCTATAGCATAAAGCAAGCTTTAATAGTTTCAAAGAGGCTGAAACCATTCAAAGTGTATTCTATAAATACAAAGGAATTAATTTAGAGCTGTTTTGTTCAAATCAGGATAGTCTTTTAAAAGGTACAATACTAATAATTCCACCAGGACAACAGGCCCAAATCAAGGTTGGGTTGCAAATCAGATCACAGTCTTTCAGTCATTAGCAGGAATCTCTCACAGAGTCCTACTCTATCATCCTTATTGCCTCAGGTTCCTGCTTCACCTTGTGGCCCCTTTGAGTTAGAAACACCTAATTTAGATTGATTTGCATCAGTTCAGTTCAGGAAACATGGACCTTTTTTTCAAGTGAATTAATCTTAGATTCTATAACATTGTAACCTTATTTTTAAAAATATTTTATTTATTATCTTTATTTTATGTGCATGAGTGTATTGCCTGTATGTATGTGAGTACACCCATGTTGTGCAATGCCGTGGAGGTCAGAAGAGGGCTTCGGATTCCCCTGGAACTAGAGTTAAGGACAGTTTGTGGCCGCCATGTGGGTGCTGGGAGTTGAACCCGGGTCCTCTGCAAGGTAACCTTATTTTTACAAAGCAAAAATTTTCAAGACAGTTTATTCCTGTCATTTTTTCTCCAAATGACAAAGAATGAGCTAAAGTGGAAATTTAAAATAATCTGTGCTCAGTCACATACAGATATTCATCATGTATTTTTTAAAAATTGAGCCAGTTGCTGTGCTTTGTTCTTTCAGACTCATGTTAAAATTTAATCTGCATTATGAAATGTTTAGAAATGGGACTTTCCTCAGAGGTTAGAACATGCATTACCAAGGCTTTGGCTTGCTGCAAGCCACCCCCGAGGTCATCATACATACCAGGAGGCTTTGGCTCCTGTGATCACTCCAGAACTCAGTACTTTGACTGTGGGTATAGTCGTGCCATCACTCAACCAAGGCCATATCACCTCAGCCACTCTACCCACAGGTCATCTCCATGGCTATACTCTTGTGTTCCATCAGACCATAATGGGGACAAAGTAGAAACCAGTGATAAGAGAAACCAGAAACTACATAAATACATGAAAGCTAAGTGATATGCTTTTTAATGAAGTCACTGAAGAAATTAGGGAGCACCATAAAAATTCCTAGAAAGAAATGAAATGAATAACACGATCTATCAGGCCCTTGAGACATAGCTGAGGCAGGTGTAAAGAGCAGTGTTTATAGCTATAAGTACCCATATTAAAATCAGAGTTTTTAAATCAATAAATATGCATCTCAAGGATCTAGAAAAGCTAGAGGCTAATTCTGAGCCTAGTAGATGGCAGAAAATAATTACGATTAGTGCAGAAATTAGTGAAATTGCGACTAAAAGCACAATACATAGAACAGTAAAACAAAGAGTTGGTTCTTTGAAAAGATTAACAAGATTCACAAATATCTTGTTAAATTAATGAAAAGAGAGGGAAGACCCAAATTAATAAAATTAGAGACGAACAGGTAGCTGTTACAATAGACCCTCAGCAAAGTCCAGAAGATCATTGGGGGATACTTTGAAAACTTATATTCCAAAAAGCTGGAACACCTAAAAGACAGAAAAAAATCTAAATATATATAAAATCTAAAAAATTAGATCCAGAAGATATAAGTAACCTAAACTTACATAAGCAATTATATTGAAGCTGTAATTAAAAGTTTCCCCACAAAAAAAAGGCCCAGGTCCAGAAAAATTCACTGTTGAATTCTCTCTCTCTCTCTCTCTCTCTCTATATATATATATATATAGGCATGTATGTGAAAGGGTTTGTGTACCCAAAATTGTGTTCAGAAAGCAGAAGGTGATGTATAGTGTCCTGCTTTATCACATATCTACCTCATTCTCTCTCACCAGGTTCTCTCTCTGAACCTGGAGGTAAATTGGTGACCAGCAAATTCTTGTGATCCTTCTGTCTCTATCTCCTATGATCCTGGTGTTACAGGCATGTGCATAACCATGTTTGTCTTTGTTTTATGTCAGTTCTGAGGATTTCAACTCCAGTCCTCACACCTCAAGGAGAGCAAGCACTCTTACCTACTGAGCCATCTCCCCACCCTCTATCAAACTTTCAAGGAATATTTAATGCCAACATTTGTCAAACTGTTCCACAAAATATAAATAAAAAAAACACCAACAAATTCATTTTGAGTAGTTAGAATTGTCCTTTGACCAAAACTGAATAAAGACATAACTAAAAATAAAACTAGAGACCAATTTCTTTGGTGATCATAGATGTATATATTTTCATCAAAATTCTTTCAAAATGAAACAAAGAACAATCAAGAAGATCACATATCATGACTAGGTAGGTAGGTTTCACTCCGAGGATGCAAAATTTACTTAACATATGCAAATCAATAAGCATGTTACATGTCCTAAGGGCAGAAATCACATGACCATCCTGATAGATGCCAAAAAGGCATTTGACAAAATTCAATATGCCTTCATGATAAAATCCTAGATAATTTGGGAACAGACAGAACAGTCCTCAAGTTAATAAAGGCTATATATGACAAATAGAGTCAGTATTATACTAAATAGGGAAAACTAAGACCATTTATTTAGAATGTCTCTGAAATGAGGCAAGGATATCTACTCTCACCATACTCAATACAGTGAT